GAAGGAGAAACCATCCAAATTCTACCATCCGTGATGAGGCAGAGGGATTTGTGTGTTATGGGCTTTCCGGGTGGCTGGTCCCCTGCAGGAATTTTCTCAGCGGTTTCCACATGAGAGTTTTCAGTGGCTAACACCCAGCAATGAACCTGAATTGAATTTTAAAAGCTATTAGAAAAAAGCAATAAATCACTTATAAAGGTAAACTCAGAATTACAGCAGACTTCTCAACACAAACCTTAAAGGCTAGGAGAGCTTGAGGAGAAATGTTTTAAACCCTACAAGAAAACAATTTCTAACCCAGACTGATACATCCTGCAAAACTATCTTTCAAAATTGATGAAGAAATAAGATACTTCCAAGATAAAGAGCACTTAAAGAAATTCATGACCACCAAACGAGCACTCCAAAAAATTCTCAAGGATACTCTAGAAAGAGACAGTGAAGCTAACAATGACAAAAGATATAATAGAATGAATATACCAGGTAGGCTGAGCAGGTGAGTAGAAGGGAAAAACAGGGAATCAGCAATGGGGAAATAAGGCAATGACAGGAATAAGTCAATACCTATCAGTAATAACTCTCAATGTGAATGGTCTCAATTCCCCAATCAAAAGACGTAGTCTGGCAGAATGGATCAAGAAACAAAAGTCAATGGTGTGCCATTTATAAGAAACACACTTAACCCAAAAAGAAACTCATAGATTAAAATCAAAGGATGGAAAACAATATCCAATGCAATAGGAAATGAAAAAAAGGTGTAGCTATCCTTTATTCAGAAAAAGTGGACTTCAAGCCAAAACTAATCAAAAGAGGCAAAGAAGGTCGCTACATATTGCTTAAGGGAATAATCTATCAGGAAGAAGTAATGATTATTAACAAAAAACATACCCAACTTTATAAAACAAGTACTACTGGACATAAAAAACCAGATAAACAGCCGGGGATTTAGCCCAGTGGTTCCGTCGCCTGCCTCACAAGCGCAAGGACTTAAGTTCGATCCCCGGTACCAAAAAACAACAACAAAAAAACCCCCAGATAAACAGAAATACAATTATAGTGGGGGACCATAATACCCCACTAACACAAATAGATCAACTAGACAAAAAAAAATCAACAAAAACTATCAGAGTTGAACAAAATCTTTGAACAAATGATGTAACAGACATCTACAGAGTGTTCCACAGAATGCACATTCTTCTTGGTAACACTTGGAACTTTGTCCAAAATAGACTATGTGCTAATCAATAATGCAAGCTTAAGTAAATGCAAAAGAATTAAAATTATACTATGCATGTTATCAGATCATAGTGGAAAGAAGTTAGGAATCAATGATAAAAGAAAACACAGAAATTATGCAAATGTGTGGAAACTACACAATATACTCTTAAATAAACAATGAGTTACAGAAGAAATCAAGGAAGAAATAAGACAGTTTCTAGAACTAAATGATAATCCCAGTACAATGTACTAGAACTTTTGGGACACAGTGAAAGCAGTCCTAAGAAGGAAGTTCATAGTGAGCACAAATAAATAACTGAATGATGTACTTCAAGGTCTTAGAAAAAAAAGAAAAATCCAAATCAAAGCTAATGCAAGGAAGGAAATTACAAAGCTCAGAGCAGAAATCAATGAAAATTGAGACAGGAAAAAAACCCCCAAAGAATCAAAGAATTGAGCAGTTGATTCTTCAAAAGAATAAACAAAATAGAAAAACCCTTAGCTAATCTAACCAAAAAAGGAGAGAAAAGACCCAAATCAATACAATTCAAAATGAAAAAGATGACAAGGACCCAAGTTTGATCCCCGGTACCAAAAAAAAAAAATGAAAAAGATGAAATTAAAACAGACACTGTCAAAATAAAAAAGATTATTAACAACTACTTTGCAGACCTGTACACCAATAAATTGGAGAGTTCAGAAGAATTGGATAGATTCCTAGATACATATGAATAACCAAAACTGAACCAAAAAGATTTAAAAACCCTGAATAATCCAATAATAGGTAATGAAATTGAAGCAGTGATAATAATAAAAAAAACTTACCAACTAAGAAAACCCCAGGTCTGGATCAGTTCATTGCTGAATTCTACAAAACTTTAGAGAAGTTCTAATACCAATCCTCCCCACTTTTTTTTTGTACTGGAGATCAAACTCAGGGCCTTGCACTTGTGAGGCAGGCACTGGAACCACTGAGCTAAATCTCCGGCCCTCCCCACTTTTCAAAGAAATTGAAAGAGAAGGAGTATTCCCAAAGTCATTCCTGAAACTACTATTACCCTGATTTCAAAACCAGCCAAGGATCCAACGGAAAAAGAGAACTACAGGCCAATCTCTTTCATAAACATAGAGATAAAAATCCTCAGTAAGATCCTGCCAAACAGAATGCAACAAATCATCAGAAAGATCATATATCGTGATTAAGTAGGCTTCATCCCAGAGATGCAAGAATATTTCAACATATACAAATCAATAAATGTAATTCATCACATAGAAGCATGGACAAAAATCACAAGATCATCTCAGTAGAGGCAGAAAAGCCTTTGACAAAATCCAACATTCATTAATGATAAAACCTTGAAGGAAATAGATATAAAAGGACCTTATCTCAATGTGATAAAAGCCACTTATGACAAACCTATTGCCAACATCATATTAAATGGGGAAAAACTGAAAGCTTTCCCTCTAAAATCAAGAACAAGACAAAGATGCCCATCATCACCACTCCTACTCAACATAGTCCTTGAAACATTAGCAAGAGCAGTTAGGAAAGAAAAAGAAATAAAAAGGATATATGTAGGAAAGGACAAGGTCAAATTATCATTATATGCAGATAACATGATCCTGTACATAGAAGACCCAAAAAATCCACCAAAAGATTCTTAGAATTAATAACCAAATTCATCAATGTAGCAGGATATAATATCAATACACAAAAATTGTTAATATTCCTGTACACCAATAATTATCTCATGGAGAAAGAAATTAGGAAAAAATACAATTCATAATAGCCTCAAAAAAATTACATACTTTGGTATTAAGCTAAACAAAGAAGTGAAAAAACTTCTATTATGAAAGCTATAGTACTCTGAAAAAGAAGATTGAAGAAGACATCAGGAAAAAAATGGAAAGTTATCCCCTCTTCCTGGATAAGCAGAACCAATATAATCAAAAAGGCCATACTTTTAAAATTGATACACAGACTTAACACAATCCCAATCAAAATACCAACAACATTGCTCAAATAAGTAGAGAAAACAATCCTAAAATTCATATGGAACCATAAGAGGTCCAGAATAGCAAAAGCAATCCTGGGTAAAATGAGAAAAGCAGGAGACATCACAATCCTGGACTTGAAGTTACATACAAAGCTACTGTGATAAAAACAGCATGGTAGTGGCACAAAAACAAATATGTAAATCAGTGGAACAGAATAGAGGATACAGAAACAACTCCAAGCACATTCAACGATTTGATCTTTGACAAAGGAGCCAAAAAATATACTGGAGGAAAAATAGCCCCTTTAGCAAATGATGCTGGTGAAACTGTCTATCCACATGCAAAAGATTGAGTCTAGGTCTCTGACCAAATACAAAACTAAAATAAAAATGGATCAGGCTGGGGATTTAGCTCAGTGGTTCCACTGCCTGCTCCACAACTGCAAGGTCTCAAGTTCGATCCCGGGTACCAAAAAAACCCAGAAACATATAACTTCTGGGAAGACAAAATAGGTAAAACTCTTGAAATCATACATGTAGGCAAGGCCTTTCTGAACTGAATTCTGGCTGCACAGAAAATAGTACAGAGAATCAACAAACAAGCTTATATGAAATTTAAATGCTTCTGCAAAGCAAAAGAAACAACAGAGTGAAAAGACAATCTACAGAATGAAAAAAAAATTTTGCCAGCTATTCCTCAGAGGACTAATATCTAGAATTAAAAAGAACTCAAAAAAATTAGACCCCCAAAAATAAAAGACCCAATAAAAAAATGGACAAGTGAAGTAAGACATTTCATAGAAGAAGTATAAATGGCCAATAAATAATAAGAAATGCTCAACAGGGCCAGGGATTTAGCTCAGTGGTTTCACAGCCTGCTGTGCAAGCACAAGGACCCAAGTTCGATCCTCAATACCAAAAAAAAAAAAAAATCTGAAACTAGAAATTCCATTTGACCCAACCCCTTCTAGGAATCTTTCCAAAAGAACTAAAGACATCATATGACAGTGATCATGCACACCTGTGTTTATGTGGCACAATTCACAATAACTAAATCTTGGAAGCAGCCTAAATGTCCATCAACTGGTGAGTGGATTAAAAATTGTGGCATTTAGATACAATTGAGTACTACTCTGCCATAAAGAAGAATGAATTCAAGTCATTTGTCGGAAAATGGTTGCACATTGAGACCATAATGTTAAGTGAAATAAATCAAACGCACAAATTTAAATATCACATAGTTTCTCCTGTATAAGAAACCAAAGGTAAAACTAAAGAGCAAAATAAAAGATAGATAATAGGGAGTAGGGAGATAGATCTTTCTTAAAGGGGACAGGGGCCAAGAGACAGAGGTAGCCAGGAGGGAGGGGAGGGGCAGGGAATGTAAATTTAGATGTGTTATTACATTTACCAACTCCCTACAAGGAATGTAAACATTATGTACTGCAAACATTTAAGAAAAAAAGGGAAAGGGCTCAAGAGACAGATGGAGAAGAGAGGGAAGGAAGGGAAAGGGGATGAAAAAATGAATTAAACTGTGTTACGTACATATCCCAACTCCACACAAGGAATGTAAACATTATGTACTGCAAACGCATACTAATAAAGAAAAAAGAAAAAAACAACAAAATAAATATTATTTTTTTGTACCAGGGATCGAACTCAGGACCCCCCCTCCCCCTCACTGGACGATGAACTCAGGACCTTGCGCTTGCAACACAGGCACCAGAACCACTGAGCTAAATCCCTGGCCCCATAACAAAATAAATAAATGAACAAATAAATAGGGATTATAAATTAATACGTTTCAGTGTTCCCATAAAAAAATAAACAAATAAATAAATAACAGTTTATTTGTATTACAGTATCCCCACGTCTAGAATATGCTTGACACATAGCAATCACGATAATAGTAGCATGTGCATAGATAGTGCTTGTTATGATCAGGCATCACACATATCATTCATTTACTCCTCCTAAGAACACTAGACAGAAGGATATTATTGTCCCCACTTTCTATTTTAGAAAACCGAAGCACAGAGTAACTGCCTACAGGAGCAGGAGGCAACACAGTATCTGGCTGCAGAATCTGGCTGCGCCCTTCCCAGTGCGCACGCCTGGTGGTTCATGGAACCATGACTGGTAAGTTGCACAGTGCCCATGGTCAAGTGGCCATTGTGCTTGGCTTAATGTTCTGCTGTCACCGTCTCTAAATTCTTAAACATATTATCTTTCAGCTTGCGCTTAATACACCAGGTGTGATGGCAATGGGAGGGTGCCTGTGAACCAAGATGTGTGTTGTGTCCCGTCCACCTCTGGTCCCGGCCACCTCGCTGTCCACGGTGTGTGCGGTGCCCACGGGTACAGAATTGTGCACAAATGGCCAGGCCTGGGGGTTCAGCAAGCCTCAAAGCGAGCTCCCAGTGAGTGTGGTGTGTCTATCCCTGAGTCAGCAGCGGCGCTGCCAGCCACCAGAAACCCAGTTTTCTCAACTCAGAATTTGTTCCAAACGTAAAAAAGAGAAAATGGCACTCCAAGAGACACAAGCAATTGCAGAATGTCATATCCCTTCTCACCCACTTCCGGTGGGATCCAGCCTGCTACACTGCCAGTGACACGCTGGAGAAGGCTAGGTGCCTCCCTCTTTCAGGCTTTCCTGACTCACCAGAGCCTAAGGCCAGAGAGCTCTGGTGGGGTTGTCTATATGTCAAGAAATGAAATCTGTACAATGGAGTTAATTTCCTGCATATCCACTGTTCTGGTAAAAATGAAATACATAGGCTCATATGAACTACTAAATACAAAATGTGTCATTTTGGTGATTCTGAGGATGAGTTTAACCCTAATATGTGCATTTAAAGCTGGCACTGAATACCATAAAGATGAACAATAAAATTCATGCTAATAAATTTTATTTTGGGGGGCTGGGCATCGTGGTGCACTCCTGTAATCCCAGCACCCAGGAGGCTGAGGCAGGAGGATCACTGTGAGTTTGGGGCCCCATAGAGAGTTCAAGGCCAGCCTGAACTACATAGTGAGACCCTGTCTCCAAAAATATTTTTAAAGTTTTATTTGCTTAAGAATGACATTACACAGCAAATTTTTAAAACACCATAATAAGTTGAGAGATCATGGAAAAGGGGGGAAAGGTATGTGCTTTAATACCCCTTTCGCAGCCGGACACATGGCTGTGTCTGCACATGTCCACCTGGCTTGGGCCCACAGATGATGTAGTTGGCCCTGCTTATAAATTTCCTCTCTACCTGCCTCAGCTTGGTTTAACTTCATGTGACTGCTAACAGAGTCCTAATTTGGAAATTCAATTTGAACTTGCTGGGGGTTTAGCTTCATGCTTCGTTGCAACTGATGTACTCCAATATGAGAGGACATATGAAGCAATGTAAAGAGCATGGGCTTTGAAGATCAGAAAGAGCCCCAGAGAGGTTCACTAACTTGGGCAAAGCCACACAGCTTCCTAGAAGAACTGAGAGCTGGACTTTGTGTGGCCATGGAAATTTGCTCTTACTGTACTGTACTGTAGGCACTGGTCACAGGGACCTATCAAGCCCTTGAAATGTGAGTAGATTTAAATGTATAGTGTGATTAGTGTTACAGTATTGGATCACACAGTTCTAGAACATGGGCCGTGAGCCCTGTGACCATGACATTGTGGAGGGGCTGACTCACTCCCTGGCTCCTGGCACCTGGCCCTTCCTGGGGAGTGTGGATGAAAGGTTAGAGCAACCACACAGAGCTGGGACATAGTAAGTACTCAGTGAATGGCAGCTGAGTGAGTGCTTTGAGGGTGCTCAGGCCCAAGCTCACAGGTCACCAGCTCAGGGGACAGGGGATGGCAAGGAAGAAAGAGGAGACATGTGTGACCCTCTGAGGCCAGTGTGAGGCAGGGCCAGCCCACAGCAGAGGTCACATCAGCCCTTGGTGACTCAGACTGTCAGGAATCCACACCCGAAGGCTTAGCTCCCCACCGAAAGCCTTCCCGGGAGGGTCCGGCAGCTCGTGAGCAGGGAGACATGTCAGGGTGATCAAGGCGCCTCTGCTCTGTCTGTGGACAGCAGCCAGCAAGCCAGAGCTGTTGTCCCCATGAACCCAGCTGAGTCTCAGCTCAGCCTCAATGCGCTGTGACACACAGTGGAAGGGGTGAGACTGCCCTGACCAGCAGCCCTCCTGACCTCCTGCATCCCTAACTGAGCCCTCTTCCTCTTCCAGGAAGCCTTGCTACACCCTCCTCCCACCTGGGCAGCCCCTCTACTGGCCCTGGATGTGGTTCATCATCAGTCACCACCAGGAAGGGCCCTTGGCTGCTCTCTCCTGCACAGCCAGTGTGAGCGCCCCAGAGATGTAGACCGCAGCTCCTTCCCCAGCTGAGGCTGCCCATGCTTTGCGCCTGGGACTCATTTTGATAGCCCTTCTTATCTCCTCCATCCAGGCAGCTCTAGCCTTCAACTCCAGTCCCCCTAAGGGCTCCCCTCGAGCTTCCTGCTGCTGTCAGTTCCAGCTGCTCTGCAGGACAAAACCCTGCTGCTTAAGGTGCCCCCCAAGCACCCCAGCTACTAACCTGCCCTCTCAACTTTGGGGATTCCAAATGACATAGTCACAAACAGATTGAATTTTATTCTCATAGTATTTTCCTCTCCTCTCAGAGCCATTTAAAAGGGAACTGGGATTAGGCAGGCATAGTGGTGGACACCTACAATCCCAGCACCCTGGGAGGATGAGGCAGGAGGATCACAAGTTTGACCCCAGTCTGGGCAACTTAGTGAGAACCTGTCTAAAAAAAAAAAGGTGGGGATGTAGTTCAGTGCAAAGGCCCTGGGTTCAATCCCCAGTACCGCCAGAGAAGAAGGAAAAAAGTCTCTTGCTGGTTGACATGAAGTTAAGGGAAGATCCTCTTGGCAAAGAATCGGGCATTCAAGTTTACTAATCTTGCACGCCCAGCAGGCTGTGGCCGAAGGGTATGAGAGGTCATTCCCGAGATAGTTTGCTTGTGCTGCTGACTCTGCTCCAAGAAGAGATCTCGCCCCCGTCATACTTCCCATAGCTGCAATCCTGTTTGTCTTGCCTTGGTTCCCTTGAAGGAATAGTTCAAGGATGGGAACATCCTGAGAAGTGTCTCAGCCCGTTTCTGTAGAGATTAGACTATATTCATAGAGAAAAAACATTAAACAATACCTGCTGTTTATGCATTCACCTTAAATAACCGCTGTAAGTACTATAGAAGAGATGGATGAACCAAGAATAAACGTCCTGTTTCTCTTCAGGATCCCCTGTGGCCTGCTTCTATTTCTTTGCGGCCCCCTACTCACGACCCCTTTTCCACTGAGGTCGAACAACAGCTGGTGACTGTGGAAAGAGCAGACTTAGTTGGAAGAAGCTAGAGGGGTGAGTGTCTTTAGTAGTCAGGGGAGGAAAGCTTCAAGGAAGAGGGGCACCCTGCCTGTGAGCCCGGTGACAGGAAAGGACATCCTAGGCAGAGGAAATAGGACAGGCAAAGGTGGAGATGGCTGGGACAGGATGCATCGTTTGGTGTAGAAAGTTGGGGTGCACCAAGCAGTAGGAGGGGTGAGGTGCAGAGGAGAGGGGCAGCGAGACACTGAGGACCTCACTGAGGAGAGCAGGCTCTGTCCCCAGATGCCAGACCCAGCACAGAATTCTCTAGAAGGGTGGGATTCTGCATCCCCGTGGAGAACTCCTCCACCATGCTGCTTCTGTAAAGACTCTGCTCTGGTGAACTGTAACTGTCTGCAAGTACCGAGCACCCCTGCTCAGCACTCCGTGTGCATTGCCTCGTGTGACCTGTGCTTCAAGCCTTCCTACTAGGTGCAGTTTCTCCAGTCCTTGAGCTTGCACAGCAGGTGACGAAACCACTGAGCTAAATCCCCAGCCCTTAGGTGCAGTTTTCTGATTCCCACTGTCCAGAGAGGGAAAGAAATTTACCCAAGATCACACAGCTAGCAAGTGGCAGAGCTAGGATTTTAACTCCAGCAATCTGACTTTGAGCTGTCCTAGAGTAAAGAACCTGTTTAACTTTGTTTTGCCAGCATTTCCTGAATTCATTTTTTAAGTGAAATTAAAGAAAAAATATTGGAGCCGGGGATTTAGCCCAGTGGTTTCGCCGCCTGCTGCGCAAGTGCAAGGACCTGAGTTCGATCCCTGGTACAAAAAAAAAAAATTGCCCCCATTATTAAAAAACTTTTTAAAAGAAAATTGATTCTGTGGGCAGTTAAAGGATTCTAATCCAAGAACATTTTAATTTAATTCACAAATATCACTTGTCAGCTTGTTAGTAGTCATTTACACTTTAGTAAGCATTAGTCCTTTCTCCATTTTCTTTCTCTTTTCTTTCTCCATTTTCTTTGAGGGCAGGCCTTGCTTCTGATTCACTGTTGTCTCCAGTGCCTAGCAGAGGTGTCAGAAAATGGTGCTGTATCGCTTGAATGAGTTGTGATTCCCTGTGGAGGATATGGTAAAGGGGCAGAGGAAAGAAAGGAGCTGGCCAGGTGGGTGGTAGTGGGGTGAGAACGTCAGGAAAGGAGGTCGGGAGCAGCTTCGGGAAAGTTCTGGGAACCAGAGCCTTGGAGCAGAGGGCAGAGCAAGTCACCCCTTCATGGCACAGGGGAAGGACAGGACTGAAACCCAAACATCTGCTCTGAGTATGTTATCTTCCGGGCAAAACTAGCCACCTGGTTAGTTGGAAAACAGGCATTTGTCAGAGTTCAAGGTGTATCAGGAAAGTTTTGGTTTTAAGAATCAGAGTCAGAGAAAAAAACGTCCCAGACTTGTCACCCTCTCCCCCACCCGAGGCTACTGAGAAAAGCAGGGGCTTCGGAAGGTGACTGTTGAATAGAAGCTTCTTAGCAGACACCTCACTCATGTCTGTCACTCTAAAAGGGCAAGACGCAGGCCCAGAGTGGGCAAGGCCACAGGCCGACACAGTGGGGACCAGAATCCCGGCGAGCACTGCCCATGGCCGCCGTCCACAGTCCCTTGGCCCTGGCCTCTCTGTCCTCCGTCCCCTCCCCTTTGTCAGGAGGAGGAAGCCTTTGTTCAAACCCCACCTCCACTGGCTGCTCCCTGCTGCAACCTGACTGCCCTAATGGGATTATAGAGCCCTGGTGGAATAGACTAGGGTTAATTCCCTGGCTTTAAAGAGTGGGCCAGGTCCACCAAAACTCTGTGCGGTGATCCTAATAGCCCTGGCCCCCATGCAGCCTGCTAGAGCTCACCAGTGCTTCACAAGGATTCTCTGGATGGCATTTGTACCAATCCCAAGGAAGTAGATGCTGTTATTCTCTCTGTTTTATGGGCGGGGAAACTGAGTTACGGTGCGATGAAATGGCTTGTGTAAGCTTGCACACCTAGTAAGTAGCCAAGCTGGGTCTTGAATGAAGAATTCCTGGGCGCCATTGGCTTTAAAAATAATAGGCATCCTTAGCTAGGTGTGGCGGTCCCTGCCTGTAATCCCAGCACTTGGGAGGCTGAGGAAGGTGGATCACAAGTTTGAGGCCAGCCTGGGCTACATAACAAGACCCCGTTTCATGAGAAAAAAAAAAAGACCCTGAAAACCCTCAGAGGATCCTGCCTAAAAGAGCCCCAAAGACTGTGCATCCAGTGGGAGATGGAGCCACGGACCAGGGGTGGAAATTGACTCCACTGCGTGTGCTGCTCTGTCACTGTGGCCTGGACTCTGGCTGTTGGAATCTGTCTCCCTTTTCAATGCCTGAAGGTGAGATCTGAGGGGGTTGGCATGGGTCTCTGTGATCATCAAAGGCAAAGCAAACAGAGTAGGCCTGGCACATTGCGCTCCCTCGCTCCTCAGCAGAATGGTAGGTGAATTGTCCTTACTGCTTGGCATAGTGTTGGGGTTAAATATGCCAACGCAAGGAACTCATGCAATAAATGCTTATTTAATGTTGGCGATCACTAGGATCTTATTGCCTGGCCTGCATTTCTTCCTGGAATGAAATGGGGTAAAAATCAAACCAACCACACAGATGTTCTTCTTCTTCCTCCCCTCAGTGTCTGGTCCATTTTCCCATTCAAGGAGCATTTGGCTTTGTGAGCCCAACTCCCAGGCCACATGGCCTGCTCTAATTTCCTGGGCCCTAATCTCTCCCAGCTCCTAATGATGCAGCTGGTAATAGGATTGTGGCTTCCCTCTGGGGCAGCCTCATAGGCCATGGCTGTGGGGCTGGTGACTGCTTCTTAGTGACTCTGACCACCTGTGAGCTGAGGAGCCAGCACCCCCAACCCAGACCCTGTGCCCCTGGCTGGCATCTCATGCATGGAATGGTCCTGTGCCCCATGCCAGCAGGCCCAGCTCACCATGGTGCTGGGTGCCATCCTCGCGAGAGGCAGGGACGTGTGCCGACGGAACGGACTACTCATCCTGTCGGTGCTGTCTGTCATCGTGGGCTGCCTCCTCGGCTTCTTCCTGAGGACCCGGCGCCTCTCACCACAGGTCAGCTCCCCCAGAGCATCTTGGGAAGAGGGTGCGGGCCAGAGGGATCTGGGGCTCCCCCATCATGTGACAGTCATTTTCTCCCAGCCAGGGGTAGAGAGGACAGTTGTAGGGGGAGGCCTGACTTTGGGATGAGAGAGGCAGAGATGAGAACTATTCTTAACAGAGGAACCTTCAGGACAGGAATGGATGTGGGGTTGGGAGACAGGGTTGAGGCAGGGCCCCAGATTTCTGGCCAGATAATGGCCATGGTGAATGAAGGTGCATTGCATGGGGAAGGTCCCTTTCCCTTCCGGCCCCCACTGTGGGACAGGGTGTTAAAGAGAGAATTGTCCTAACCTTTGTTCAAATGGTAAAGAAGACTATTCAGGACAGGTGTAGAGACCTCCTGTCAGATTCGATTCCAAATTCAATTCCAAATGCAACTGGGACAGCTGAGGAGTTACAGCTGACCAGCGCAGTGAGGGTCAGTGGGTGGGAACCTGCCTAGGGTGAGGATCGTATTCCATGGTGGGGAATCAGATATGAAGAGCAGGGAGGAGGGATTTTCTCAGATACTGAGAGGGGGAATCGAGAGTGAGGGGATTCTTACTAAATTGGCGCAGCAGGATTTTTGCTGCAATTGCCCTGTGCAGGCCAAGGGCAAGACCTGGGTGGCGGTGGCACAGAGGAGCTGACTACAGCTCAGTGGAGGACAGAGGCTTTGTCAGTGGCCTCTGGAAGATTCCAGATTCCAAATGATTCCTCTTCCTGCAGCGCACTGACGACATCTAACAACTGTCTCCACAAGGGCGCTCCAGCCCTTGGTCTTTCATGAAAAGCAAAATATCCCCTCCCCGGGAACAGAGCTATTATGTTTCTAAGGAGCCAGTTAGATTCTGTAGGCAGAGGAATCTGAACTTTGACTCTGCTTTAAGTAGCTGAGCAAAGTACTCTCTCTCTCTCTCTCTCTCTCTCTCTCTCTCTCTCTCTCTCTTTCTGTCTCTCTGGCCTGTCCTCAGTTTCTTTATCTGTAAAAAGAGGTGTGAAGAGTGAACAGGACTGGCTAGTGTTTGACATATAGTAAATGCTTACTGAATGTGATTTTACCCTCCCTCCTCTGTCTACCTGTTAGTGCTACCTGCATCAAGAACCATCTCATCTTCCATATCTTCTTTTTGTTTTTTTGGTACCGGGGATCGAACTTGGGACCTTGCACTTTCAAGGCAGGCGGCAGAACCACTGAGCTAAATCCCTAGCTCATCTTCCATATCTTCTAAAGTCTTCAGACCTATTGACATCTAAAATAACAGTGTAGGTTTCCTTTGTTTGTTTTGTGGTACTGAGGATTGAACCTAGGACCTTGCAGGCCATTCCTAGAGTAAGAGTCTTGCCCCATGCTCATTCTGTGTGCCTTCCTCTCTGGTAACCCAGCTGCTGGCTCCCTTGCTTCCCCAGCTATTTATATAAATCTCTACTTCTCCCACCAGAGTGGGAATTGCTGAACAACTTATGGGTTTTCTTGAACCAAAATGTGAGCCTCACATGGTGTCAGGCACAAAGAAACCCTCAACTACATGCTGAATTAAACTGCCAATGACACACCCAACCTACAGTCTGCTGTTTAATTTTCCTCAATAACAAATATGTGTTTCCTGCAGGAAGACCGTTTTGTGAAAACAAATTGGAATGCTTATTATTAAAAGCCAAGCTCCTCTGGGTCCCCCTGTGCCAAAGCTGCATTGCCCATCTGTTTGGACCTGAAAATGTGGTCCAGTCTGGATTAACCTGCCAGATAAACTGAAAGAAGGATTCAGAGTCTTAGAACAATTATTTCACAGCAATTGGCTTTCTTAATGTCTTAGTTTGAAATCCAGGATTTCTCTGTTTGATCTTTTTGCCTGTGACTCAGAAACTAAACCCTTCTTCTAACTTTGTGAACTTATGCAACAGGCAAAAATCATAAACAATTTGGAAAATGGCAGAATGTTCTATTTGTGAAAAAGAGCTTACAACCTCATAGATTCTAACTTTGGGTATAAATATCTCATTTAAAAAATACAGACCATTGGAGACTTCCAGTTAAACTATGGAGAATTATAATTGCATGCATTTTTCTGCTCCTTCCTGGAGGTCCAGTAAAATTATAATAATGGAATTTTTAAAGGACATAAGCCACCAAAAGCAATAAGAATATAAAAGGTAATAGTTGAGAAAGGAAATTAGATTCCAATAAGTTAGGCAACATGGGGAGTGGATGGAGTTGCACAACCTCATGTAGCAGAGTGCGGAAAGCTAAGATCTTCCATCTCTGGAAGTAGAAATCTGGAAGGGCTCTCAGTGCTCTACTGTACTAGGCAGAGGAATATGTCAAGTTGAAAGTAAGGACAATGGCTAGAATTTGTAACCAAAGTAATCAGAGTGCTAGGGCCCTTCACCTTCCTACAGTCAAAGTATTCTTCCTGCCTGCCCAAGGAGCTAAAGAAGCTGGATGAAGGGACAGCAGGCCCAGCTGTGTGTGCTGGAGAACAGGGAAGTGGTGAGTGATGTGCTTCAAACTAATAAGCAGACATCTCCGTGCTGGGTGTAGAATCACCAGCATGGCTTCAAGAGAGCTGACCGATTGGCTTAGGCTGGGCCTCATCCCTCAAAGGTCGGGATAGGCCTCTTGCTGAAGCCTCAGGGGAAAAGCCTCCGAACTCTGCTAGGAAGGACATTCCTCTACCATGCCCTCCACCCCAAGTGAACATGGCAGCTCATATCCAGCACCTGCCCTTGAGGGTGGTTGGTGGACAAACCCCACCCAGAGTTACAGAAGTCAGTGTTTCCCACTTCACTTGCAAACCAAGGCCACCAACAATGTGGGGAAACTGCAAATGTGAAAGACAGAAACTAAACAAAGAGAAAAGAGTCTCTGAGAAAGCAGGGAGTGGAAGAGATCTTTTAAAATCTTTTCTTAAGGGCCAGAGATTTAGCTCAGTGGTTCCACCGCCTGTCCCTCAGGCACAAGGACCAGATATCGATCCCTGTACCAAAAAATAAATAAATAAATAAACCTTTTCTTAAAATCTTTGGAGATTTGAGAGGAGATAGAGTTGCTGTAAAACAGAACGGGTTGTAGGGGCTGGGGTGTAGTGCAGGGGTAGAGGATGTGTTCAGCATGCACAGTGGCCTGGATTCATTCAGTCTCCATCCCCACAAAAACAAACACAAAGCTGAATTGGATGCTAAGAAGAAAGGACAATCAGAGAACAAGGAGCTGGTGAAAATCAAAAATAGAAGAACCAAGATAAAAACGTCAGTAGTTGGGATAGAATTGTAGAAATTTCCCAGAAAAAAAAGATTAAAATAGAAAAAGAAGATGTAAGAAACGGAGCATGTGAAACATTCACAGCTACCTAGAATAGGTTGTTGTTGTTGTTGTTGTTGTTTTTGGTAGCAGGGATTGAACTCTGTGCTTTCGAGGCAGGCAGTGGAACCACTGAGCTAAATCCCCGGCCCTAGAACAGTTTTAAAGAGAGCTAACAGAAAAAATGGAAGGGAGAAAATATTTGGAAAGAATACAAGAAATTTTCCCAAAAGTGAAAAGCAGAGTGAAAAAGAGAGAAAAGAAAAAGGGAGGGAGGGAGGGAAGAAGGAATGAAGGAAGGCAAAGAAAAAAGAGAGAAGAAAGAGAGAGAGAAAGAGAAAGAAAGAGAAAGGAAGGAAGGAAGGAAGGGAGAGAGAGAAAGAAAGAGGAAAAGTTCATCTGGTACTATGACACATCACCATGAAATTACAGAAAAGCAGAGATAAACAAATGATACTTAAATGGTTCCCAGGGAATAAAACAGGTCTTACATAAGGAATAGGAAATAAGGATGGCTGTGAACATCTTAAGCAACACTGGAAGGCAGAGGACCAATGCCCTCAAAATTGGGAGGGGAAATTATTTTCGACCAAGAATTTTACATGTGACTTATTGGAAATAAGAATGAACAAAGGCATTTCTACTCATGTAAGGACTCAGACGTTTCCCTCCTATCTACCTTTTCTCAAGAAGGTACAAAGGGAGATGTTCCACCAAAACAAGAGAATAAACCAAGAAAACAAGGGAGCCAGGATACAACATAAAGAACAAGATGACAAACTAGACCAGGAAGACAGAGCTGTTGGGCTGAGGGATAACAGGGAATTGATATGCTCAAGTGTGTAGAAAATGGCCAGACATTTTAATAAACAAGTTAAATTGTTTGGAAGAAATTAACGAGTGGTTCACAGAAAACAAAGCAAATGAAACATTGGTTATTAACTTTAGAAAAAGAAATGAAGGTTATATAACCCAGGAGGCATGGTTGTAGATGACGTGGCTCAGATGTGAATGATATTTGATGATCAAAATATTGTAAACTTTGGAGATTACATATATCTCTGTGCCAATGCACTTGTCTAGCATGGGTGGGGCCCTGAATTTGATCCTCATTTTATATTTATATATAATATATATTATATATACATATATATATAACTTTGGCTACTGATTTACCCCCAAATTAATATAAATATGGGTTAAATATTTACCGACCCAGAAAAGAGAGTAGATAATAAGCCCTCTTCAAACATGGCAGCAAAGTTCAATAGTCACAATGGTAATGCGGGAAACAGCATTGAAACCATACTGTTCAGAAGGGGAGACAGAAGTTACAGATGTCTGCTCCTGCCAAATTGGGGAATGGAGATGGAGAAATGAGGAAGGAGCTACCTTTGTATCATCAGAGCACTATTTAGAGAATATACATGTAGATTAACGTTAACTTAAAATATGTAGACCGGATGAATATATTTCCTTAAAAAGAATTTCTAGTGCATTGGAAAAGGTAGTAGAATGGAAGTTGGAAGTCTGACTCTCCATCCTGTTGTTGCTTAGTGGACAGGTCACCTCCTTCTGCTGGCTCAGCTTCTTCGTCTACAGAATGAGTAGGTCTGGACAAGGAGATCTTTAAAACCCCTCAGTAGTACCATTAGGTTTCACCATTATGGTGAAAAGCACCATAATTTGGTGCTTTGAAAAGCATCAGGTCACTAGCACATCATTATGTTTGGCACTGGTTTTAAAAAATAGTTGCAAGTATGAAATGTAACCTGGATAGTGTTTCCAAGTCCATTCGCCAGCTTCACCCACATCCTCCCCTTTGGGAGGGGCCCCTGTGGGCACTGCCAGAAATAGCCAATTTGCATTAAATTTAAACTTTACAAACAACACACCCAGTTAAATTAAACTTGCAGATAAACAATGAAACAGTATTAAGAACAAATAAAGAATGAATTATTTATTATCTGAAAGTCAAATTTAGCCAGGTTTGGTGGTCCCTTCTGCTTCTGTTGTCGCTTTGGCCTCTGGGACTTGTTACTGGGTAACAGCTGATCAGGCCAGGATTTGGGGCCCTGGAAAACTCAGGATAGCCTGGAGCTGGCCAGCAGCTCACAAAGGGGCAGAAGTAAGAACTCTGCCCAGTGGGGGTTCTCAGCAGCCAATCCATCTTCTCCCTTTCAGCACCCTGAGGGGAAAGGCTAGAGAGTGGACCACTCCCAGTGAGAAACTGGTTCCAGTCTGCTTATGACCCACTCTCCCTGTGCATTAGACGGGGAACTTTTCCAGGACTGGAACTAAGTCTCGTTTTTGTGTCCCCAGTACGATGCTTGGCAATGTGGGTTTAGGAAACACACAGCCCTGCCCTCTTCCCACTTACCATCTGCTAGATGAGGTGGTTTTACACCTTGGAGAGGTGGGTGAAGGGTGCAGATGAGGGAGAGCTGCTATCTACAAGGAATACTGAGCATCTACTCTCCCCTGCGTGCTACACTTAATGCTTTTGTGCTCTGTCATTGAAATACAGCTGATAGGCTGGAAAGCCAGTTATCTCTCGCTGGTCTCTGTGCCCATGTGCCAGACGAGACAGGCTTTGAGGGCTAAAGAACTGAGCACTGAGAACTCTGCACCACCCACCGTAACCTCCGCTCCTGTTGTGTTTTCAGGAGATTAGTTACTTCCAGTTCCCTGGAGAGCTCTTGATGAGGATGCTGAAGATGCTGATCCTGCCGCTCGTGGTCTCCAGGTGAGAGACAGGTGGGAGGTGCACGAGCTCTGTCCTTGGCTCCCTCCTCCTTGTGAGGGGGCATTGCTCCCAGGCCAGGGGCACAAGTTAGTGCCCCTGGGTGCTCTTTGTGGGAGGCTTTGCAGGCAGCATTCAGGTGGCTCAGGACTGACCCTTCTGGGCTCTCCTGAAACACTGCATTGGCACCTCCTTCAGGGAGCCTTCCCTGGCCCGCAGCCCATGCTGGGTATCACCTCTTCTTTAAGCATCCTTTGAGTCATTCAGAAATGGTGAATTTGTCGAGGCCGCCAATGACCTGGATGGTGCTGTGTCCAAAGCTGTCTCCACAGATCAGACACCGTGGGCCACTCTTGCCCTCTGGGAATACTCACGCCCACCCTACCCCGGCCTTGCCCTCGCCTGGTCTCTGTCCATCTCTGCCCCTCCACCCCAGGTTCTCCCTCTGCTCAGCCCCTACGTGTCTCAGGTCCCGAGGCCTCTCCTCACCTAACCTCATGGCTCTAGTATGGTACAGGCCCCCGTACCTCTCCCGTGAGCTCCACAGCTGATTAACCAGTGAGCTTTTGGGCACCTCACTTGGGTGTTTCACAAGCATTTCAGATTCAACATCAGTACCTTGAGATTATGCCCAGCAAATGGTTCCTTCTCCGGTGTCCTGCTGTCAGTAAGAGGCAGCTCTATCTACCAGTCTCCTGGGTTCTTTCCTTTCCTCACCCCACAGCTGGGTCATCGGCAGCATGAGCTGATTCTGCCTCTTCTGGAGAATGCAGCTCGTCCCTCCGCTCAGCCCTGGGGCTGTGGGCCCTGTCCCGACTCCCCAGTGGCCACACTGCTCTCCTCACTGTGGGTCCTCCCCTTGCTATCCACTCTCCACTCATGGCCACATGATCATGTGTGGCCACATGATCATGTGTGGCCACATGATCCCGTGGGAAACAAAGCCCTGCCATTGATTTACCTTCAGACACTTCCGTGGCACCTAAAATAAACCTTCTAATCATTCACCTGGTCCAGGGAGACCCCGCACAATCTGCTCCTACCTTCTCCCAGTCACATCGCACCTGCTCCAGTCCCTTGGGTTTCAGATCCCAAAGCAGACCAGACCTACTCCCACTTCAGGGCCACCTACGTGCTATTCTTTCTGCCCAGAACACACTTCCCCAACATCTCACGCCTCTTCCTCCTCTTTCTTTAGATCTCAAGTTACCCATCATTTCCTAGGAAAGGCCCTTTCCTCACTTTCCTCACTTGGCACTGTTCTGTCTCCCTCCCGGCAGTTTCGTTCCTTGTTGTTCTGTACCTGTAAATGTGCTGCTTGTCTCTTTAACTTCCACTGGACTATGAGCTTGGTAATCAGTGACAGCACTATGGGCATTCAATTCTGGTTGGTCAGTGCCCGGCCAAGTGCCAGGCACATAGTAGGTACCCCAAATATCTGTCTGATGAGTGAATCGTTGCATCACCACAGTGCACTGTGCTGCCCAAGGCCTGGTCTCTGCAGTGGCTGAGCAAGGCTTCTCTGCCCCGGCAGGGTGGAGTGACACTGGTGAGGAAACGTGGAGTCCCCCACAGCCGAAGTGCAGTGATGGGGACTCAGTACTCCTGCTGTGCAGCTTTGTGCCCCTTTGCCAGGGTCTGTCCTCAAGGGACCCAGTAGAGGCAGAGCCCCCATGTGTCGGGCTGACTCTAGTCCCATCCTGACACTGCCATGTGTTAGCTGTGTGGCCTTGTGAAGCTGCTCAAGAAAAAGATCCTGTTTGGACATCTGGGGCCTGGGTCCTAGAGCTGCACCAACCCCGCGTTGTGTGAGTTGGGCTGTGTCCCCATGACTAAGGGCCCAGCCTGCACTCTCAAATGCCCAGACTCTCTCTCCCAGACCAGATCATTCTCTCTGGGGTGGAGCCAGAAAGCTGTATTAACTTGAGAAAAGCCAGTGTCTTCATGGGTTCCATTTGTTTATTATATAGTTTAGGCTGGTGCAGAGCAACTGTGTTCATAAAAAAGGAAGTGCTTGAACATTTTCTAACCAAGGGAGAATTAAACCTTTGTTTAATGATGCATTTCTGAGCCCCAGACTTCCTATCCCCGAAACTTCCCTCCTTGGTTCTCTAACGGGTCTACAATCTGTCATCCACCCTGCACGGGTGTGCTCCAGGAGCACCCACCCAGGGCAGAGCGCATCACCACGGCTTTGGCAAATTCACTAGTTAGGCCTCACCCTGGGCTACAGCACAGAACTACCAGGGGCTGTCCCACAGGTGAGCTATAGAGCCCCACAAGCGTTCTGATGGTTTAAGAAAACCTGATTGTCTTGGGCTCTGACCTCCACTTCTGCCTGGGTAGCTGAAGAGCCCAGCAGAAGGCTGCCAGAATCAGGCTGGCCAGTCCTCCATCTCTAGACATGCCATAGGCTTTTGTGTCCCCATGTCTTCCCCCAAGCTAACCCAGTGTCTCAAATGCCTCTCTCCTGCTCTTCATTTAATTCTGAGTCTCACTCAAGGTTCACCACCTACCTTGAGTTTGTCTGGGAAATCCTCCTAACTCCTCCTTTGTTAGTACCTATTAATGATGACCTATATCCACTGCTGTCAACACCTGTAACCTGGATGTATTTAGTGTCACTGGGTAGATGGACTGATGGGCACCCCAATGCATCTCATCGTAGGACACAGGCACCTATTTTAGGCACAGTAGTGACATCTGAGCAAACAAGTCAGCATTCCTGCCTGGAATAACCATTTCTCTTGCTGAACATAAGGTGGCCCTGGCGTGGGGTGAGGAGCAGTCAGCACGACCCCTCCATGGGAAGGGTGGTGGGTGAGATATTGGAGGCATCAGGTTTGTTTCCCCCAACCCTCTCACACTGGCCTCTCCCTGGTGCCTGGGGTCATGGGTTGATGCAGGAGACTGAAGATCTGACAGCAGCAGAGAGGTGATGAGAAGTAGACATGTGGCAACAATAGGAAGGGTGGGCATGAGGGATGGAGGCCCCAGGGCCTGCCTTGGAGGACCCTGCCAGGTGGTAGGAGGACAGTCACAGAGATGCTCTGTTCTGGAAGGGAGTTCCCGGGGAGAAAGGCCAGACTGGTGGGGCTGGGGTGGAGCCTGGCTCAGCCACTCTTTGCCACACTTCAGCATCTTCTAACTTTTGGGCCTTCTTCTCCCAGAATCTACTCCAGCCCAGCCCCTCAACCAAGTCCCTTCCCTGGCAGGTGTGCTTCTGCCCAGCCAGATGCAGCCCACCTCGTCCAGCTGTGGCTTCACACTCCCATAATCAAGAAGTCTTCCTGAGAATCTCAGTAGCTCAAACTTAGCACCTTCCCCAGGGTCGGGGGAGAGGACAGTTGTGGTCCCATTAGAAGTGTAAGGCCTCTCCTGGCTGGTTCGCTTTCTCCTGGCGATCTATTGCTGTATGTTATCTCTGCAGACTCGCTGACATAGACCAGCCTGCAGGCATCATGCAATGGTCTCTGCATCAGCAATGGGCCTGGCTGAGTTGAATCCTCTCCTTGGCGCCTTGCAAGGTTCCAGGTATCAAAGTGCCTGGGGGACTCTGTTCTCATCTGTAGGCTCCACCTGGACGAACCAACTTCAAGCCCCTTTGAGTTGCCAGCAGAAATCATTCCCTTCTGGCTGTTTGCCTGAAGGCCCAGCTTCTTGATGGCTGTCCCTGAAGGTGACTCTGCAGCATGGTCTCAACTTCCTGAAGGATAGCAGGAGCCTCTCATGCCCCAAGCTGCTAAGATGAAAGTCTGCTATGACATGATCATAGGAGTGACATCCCAGAACCTTTGTCACAGCCTTCTGGGAGCAAGTCCCAGACTGCCCACACTCCTTGAGATCACTTTAGGCTGTATCTACCTCTTTGTCTCTTCCCTGCCTTCCTTCTCTCTACCCAGATCCCAGGCCAGCCAGAAATCCTGCCCTCTGTCTCTCTGTCACTCCCACTCTGTGCCTGGAGAGGGTTGGGTGGGGTGGGGTTACCACTCCGTGTTTGGCTTCTTCTAAACAAGAATAGCACCTTTACCACAGAAAGCAACTTTACACCTTCCACCTGACTTCTCATTGCCCAGCTTGGCACCTAGCAGGTGCCCAATAAATGCTTACTAAATAACAGGCAGTGGGAGGGTAGTTGGAGCAGAGTGCAAGGAAAGGTTCATGGCAACATTGGCAGGATGACTAGGAGTTATCTTTTAAAGATGTGCTTGTACTTTTGCAAATTATGTAAGCAAACTACAAACATTTTAGATAACAGAGGAAAATCATCATTCCACAACTCAAATTCTAAAACCATTATTATTTCTTTTATGTAAATGTTTGTTCTTATTCTTAGCAGTGATTTCACGAGGTCCAGGGTATGGGCCTTGGCTGATTAACTCAGAAGCATGGCCATGCTTGGGCCCTAGAGCCAGTCAGGCCAGACCTCTGACTCCGATGCTGACAGAAGGTAGCCAAATACACCAAATGGCAACTTATTATTTGCAGAGATAAATTCCCTCGCGAGGAGGACAGGTGCACACAACATGTGGCCTGAGTACTCCTCCCTGCAGGCTCACCATGTGGGGGCCCTATGGTTAAGCCTGTTTGCTGACAAGACAGTTATTCAATTGCATAACCAGTGGGCTCAGGTTTACCCCTTTCTTTTCATGTCCCAGCCCCTACCTGGCTGTGTGGTGATGGGCAGGACCTGCACAACTGCGTCCTTAAGTCAGGACCCCTGTGCCGTGGGAGGTGCTGGGCTGGGCTCCAACTGACTGACCTCAAAGCCCTCTGCTCTGCCAATCCCAAGTCAATTACCCCTTGTTTATTTATGTCCACAGTCCTCCTTTCCCATCCCCTCCCCGTAAGACCACTCGCCATACTGTCAGATCCTTTTCACTTTTCATTTATAGACAAGCTCAAAAAATAGCTAGCGATAACGTTCTGTTCCTTTAAGTTCTTGGAGGATACCTTCCTGTGACCACACAAGAATAAATCTGCCTCCTGCTTTTTTGGTTTTC